TTTTACATAATCACAGCTATTACAATTATATTTGTAACGATTCGAACTATTTTTATTTTTTTTAAAAAGTTCTTTTCAATTTACCGGGGTTATTGTTGTACACAGGGTTCCAAAAATTCGTAGTGCAAGTGGTCGAAAACATCAACAATCAATTCATATTACTTCCATTGACCACCTCACACCACTCACCAAGTTCCTCCATAATTATAATCACCATAATGTAGGTTATGTAGTCAACCACTACGTGCAATTCTTCATTAAGTTTTACATTATTATGTACGTCCTTCTTAGAATGCGGTGGAAACCATGAAATCGGCGAGGGGAGCTTTCAGTTGATATCTTCGCCAAACTACCCTGGTGACTACGGCAACGATTTAGACTGCATCTGGATATTTACGCAAGTTGATGGAGGAAATACCGAACTTCATTTCACCAGTCTGGATACTGAGCCAAACTATGATTACGTAGAGTTCGGGGCCGGCAGCTCCCCCGATAAAAACGGTGCCAGACACTCTGGGAACATTATTCCGTCTGATGTCACGTTTTCCAGTGGCATGGTGTGGGTGTTGTTCCATTCTGACCAATCCTCTACCAGACCTGGATTCGAACTGAGAGTATCGGGGCTTGGAAGTGAGTAAACAATATGTTACCTACGATATGTCTCCCTATGTGACCTCACTGTGTTGTATACACATAACTTGTGATTTTATCACATGACATATTATTGATACCCCCTCATGAGAAATTTGTCAGACACACACAGTATTCGAATCAGATAATCCTGGCTGTAATTTAAATTCATCAAACGAGTGGAAATGAGTTCAGGGATTAATATAATAACAGAAAATATGTGTGTCAAATTCTGCAAAGGGGGGTCTCTCTTATTGCGATCAAAGTTTAAAGCGGGAGGGTTGTCACCTGCGCACGCGTGGACACAACATACGCTTAAAACGCAAAGGCTCATGGGTAGACGCTTGTTTGTAAACAATGATACGCCATGGCCATCTGACGCATGCGCAGGTGACTACTCCCCCGCTTTAATCCTTTAAACGTCGTATTTGTTCCCATCAATTAAATTTCGGTGCACATTTTAATTATTTTTACCCGAATTCTTTGTTGATTTAAAATAAGATAGACATAATTTTGAAACTTTTGAAAAAAATAACAAATTTACCAAGTTTGTGAAAATGGACAAAAAGTGTTAAAATAACATAAGTAGATCACGGGTTGAATCAAAATAAGGATGTCTTTTGTTCATCTCGTTCATTTGCGATTATAACATAGAAGCATTGATTCAATGGAAATGCACATATGTAACGTTTCATTCAATGCGGAACTTATGCTGAGTATATGAGTACATGGAAATACCCACTATAGGTACATCAAGCGAAATCGAACAATATCTAGCATATACATGTACTCCAATCACATTCATAACACCCATGTTCCTTTCTCTCCAGATGGCGGTGAGGAAGTCGTCGAAGGTAATTAACCGAACATATTAATGTATGAATAACCGTTTGCGAGTTTCTAATTATCATGATATTTTTCTAATATAATCTCCGCACCTTTCCTCCAGTAAATATTTCAAGTACTGCGAAAACTTGTAGTAGATTAGAACAAATTTTGAAATACGTCTCAACGACAGTACGCTGACCAAATCGAACACTACATCACACACACACACAGTAAACCCTAAGTTGTATGTGTGGAACACAGTCAGCTGGCGCACACGTGATAATAAAATAAATACGATATTTACTATATGGGGGCCGCCATCTGGAATGACGCATAAAACTAAATAAGAGATAAGTTGTGAAACGCGTTTTTCAGATTCCTACAAATCAGGACAAAAATACCAATCTTTCATAAAAATACGACAGTTAAATTAAGCCAACCGATAACAAAATTCGGCCGAATTCGTCGTTTTTGTGTGGGAAAATCCCTTGCATACGAACACCTAATTACACGAAGAACCTAGAACACTAAGCCGGGGTATTTGAAACCGAAATTGTCATCTAAGCGTAAGGCCGTCGTTGATTGGCTGCTGAGCTGGAATGCCATTTTTTAGTTTTAAATACCCCAGGAAAGTGTTCTAGGTTTATTTTTGTGAAAGATTGGTATTTTTGTCCTAATTTGTAGGAATCTGAAAAACGCGTTTCACAACTTTTCTCTTATTTAGTTTTATGCGTCATTCAAGATGGCGGCCCCCATATACTAGTAGTACATATCGTATATATTTTACTATCACGTGTGCGCCAGCTGACTGTGGTGTGGAAGCGCTGTAATCGTCAGTCCGCGTCACGTTTGAAATGAGTCCCACGCGACCCATGCAACACATGTAAACGACAATGTTTGTTTACACATTTTTTTTTTTATAATTATTTAGCTCCAAATTAACATGTTACGTAACATAACCGTAGACGTAATTTTTATACAGATTGTGGTGGACATAACGAGTTAGCCGAAGGCGTTCTACTAGAAATCACTTCACCAAACTATCCAAATACGTACGGAGACAACTTGGACTGCGTATGGACATTTTCTCATATAAACGGCGGAAGTATTGAATTCAAATTTATTGATTTCGAAACGGAAGTAGTACATGACTTCGTACAGTTTGGTAGTGGTGACGTCGTTGATCCATCCTCGACAAAACACCAGGGCAGTGTTATTCCATCTGATTACACTTCTTCGGGCAGTGCTGCTTGGCTTTCGTTGCACACGGATGCATCGGTCAATATGCAAGGATTTAGGGTTCGGGTAATGGCAGTAGACGGTGGTGAGTATTAATAATTTTACACACAAAAAATAACATCGTCGAATCTATTCAAAACATTGTAAGAAATCTTACAACACTGTACATTGTACTCTCCAGGCATTCTCTGACCGATTGTTCCAGTTCAGGGATTATTTTTCTAATGCCCGTCCGCCATCTAGATACAAAGTCAACAGCCAATAGTCATTCGTATCCATACACTTGTCCCGTCGTCCACCTGCTAGATCTTCAGTATGTACATTTCAAAGTTGTCACCTGCGCACGCGCAGGAATTGAGTTCAAAGCGACGATAACAACGCACGCTAAAATCGCAAAGGCTCATGGGTAGACTCTTGTTTGCAAACAACGACACGCCATGGCCCTTTGACGCATGCGCGGGTGACGACCTTCCCGCGTTAAGTGAACAACAGAATAAAGTCCGAAAAACGTGGACATATTTATACCAACATAATCAAATGAACGCCGTTACGGGCCACAACAAGCTCCGGCGGGTATTGTTGGGGCATTCAAGATTGTGAATCAGCTCATGCACTGGTATTCATTCGCGTATTTCCTGCGCACTTGTTTTGGTCAAATATATGAACGAACGCACTCTACTTTACATAATATTTGCATATTCAGTCCTGAATTCTGAATTGCCCTCCGTAAATCAACATTGATTTTATATGTGGTGCTAATGATATGAGGTAACAAAACCTCTCCCCTAGGCTGTTTATGGATAAATATATAAAATAGAGTTAATTACTATTATTGTCTTTAGGAGATGACAATGATGATGATGACGTGGGGACACGTAAGTATAAATTTATAACTTCGAACAACAATAATGCAGTACTGAGTGGTATTTTTGAACAACTCGTATGTGACCATGGTATCTGATACTTTGTCTGCACTTACATGTACAAAATAGACTCACAACTTTTAGAACAATATGCACCTAAACCTGTCTAAACCACAACATGACATGTAATAAAATAGAATAAATGAACGCATGTCTAAACCGAACAACGAATGACTGGATACCTGTCTAAACCGAACATTAAATAAAATAAAACATATCTAACCTGAAAACTGAACCAACGGAAAACTACCTAAACCGAACACAGCTAAACAGATCTAAGCTAGAGCTAAATTAACTAAATAAATTCACCTGTCTAAATCGAACATTGAATAACTAGACTCATTTCTAAACTGAGCATTATATAAATAAAAACCTATCTAACCCGACACTAAATTAACTGTAACTAACTAGAGTAAATCATATAACTGTCTAAACCGAACATTGTATAGATGAAAATCTGCTTAAACCGATGACAAATATTAAACCTGTTTAAACCGACACTAAATTAACGGAAACTTGAATGTGTGAACCTAACACTAAATAAATTGAAACCTGTCTAGACCGAACACCGAATGATTGGAACCCTTTTTTGAACAGAATCATTTTCTAATCCATTCCCATTTTATAAAAGCAAACTTGTGAACCTTTATCAAAATGACAATTTATTTAGTTTATTTGGTGTTTAGTTCAACGTGATAAATCATCTATCTTTTACGATGTCATTTCACAGAATGTGGTGGCAACTTTGAAGTCTATGAAGGTGAGGTATGGCACATTGAGACACCTTATTATCCGACCAACTACGTAGATAACCTGGACTGTACGTGGATGTTCACTGGCATGATGGGAACTGAACTGGAGGTCAGATTCCGCTCATTCGACACCGAGGCGGTGCATGACTATTTACAGCTTGGTAACGGAAACACGGTGGATGAACATGCTGCCAGATACTCAGGCAACACGTTACCGGATAAGTTTGTGTCACAGGGTACAAGGATGTGGATGACGTTTCATTCTGACGGCAGTGTCAATGACAAAGGCTTCAGAGCAACTGTGTCAGCTTTAGGTAAGATATCTTAGTTGACGTCTAATTCTCAGTCGTCGTCTAGTGCAAATGATTTCTAATATTGCGTCACACTGTATTGATCAGTCCTAACCCCAAGTTTTGTTACTATTCATTAAACCTGCATATTTGGTTTCCATAAAACAATATGGAAACCAATATGATGAAATTACGTCACCGAGATTACAGGCGAACACGAGATTACACGAGATTCGAACTCACAAGTCGGCAAATGCACCTCGCCCATATAAGCAGATTAGCTACCGTTACGCCACGTGGCACTGTCTGTGCATCTAAATTATACATTCAAACGCACCTATTTTAATGATCATATATTCTATAAATTATTCAAAAACAACAACAACAAACTATTATATTTCCAGAATGTGCAACATTGGTTTCCATAGATGCTTTCTAAATACTTTTCGATCTAGTTTTGAAAACACATCTCTTGAATGGGTGAAGGGATATAATAATAAACAAAAGAAAAGAAACAAACACCATTAGATTTTAGTTAGAGCTTGTCTCAATGAGAAGTTTGTTACTATACATTCAATCGAAATTTCAATATATGCAAATTAACATGTGCAAATATATTTATATATTCACCAGGGTCATAACAGTGTACAAGTCAAAGGTCAAACAAGCAAGCTACAAGGTACCCGGGGAAAGGAATATATGAGGTTGTTTCCACTTACGTATCAGTACTTGCATTGTAGATGTTGACGGAGGGCCAGCACATATCTGATCTGATGTTGATGCGATTGATTAAATGTTATCAGCTCTTATTCCATTGTAATATTTCAAATCGATTTTTTTGTTAGAAAGACAGTCGTATCGTAATATCAGCTTATCTAGTTGACGTAAAAGAGAACATTATTTGATTAAACCGCATATTATAAATAGTCTTGGTTCAATTATTAATTCATGTTCAACGTGAATATATGTCGGCTGAAGACCAGCGCATAAAATGTAAATTTTACTTAATATTATTTGTTATTACGTGTGTATACGTTATGACGTGTTTAAAATGTTTTGTTTTTATGAATCATGCATTTTGGATTCCACTGCAATGCGTAGAATGTAATCTAAAACTGTATTTGTTCCCATTCATGTTCAGTTTATCATCTCGGGACAATGACAAGATTATTGTATAAGATATACGCGAACGCCTGAATTATTCCAGACTTTCACCGATTTTCCCGGCGATCCGAGACTACTAAATCGTTTCTTTGCAAAGCAATACGTTTACTATTCCATACGTTTCCATTCAGCAATATTCGGTAAACAGATTAAATCAAAAAAATAAATTTCACATTTTTTTGACTGCTTTTATTGGGAACACATTTTGAAAAGTATATTGCCAAAATTTGTAAATGTAACCTTGCTACATCTCTGAATTAAATTATGTCATCATTCAGAATGTATTGCTAAATAAACTGATTATTACTAAGACCCACACTCAAATATGTATGTAGATAAACATGCCATAATTTGCAAGATCCTCCCGCTTTGTGCTGACATAAAAAGAGCTCATCCTCCAGCGGTAATCCGCTATTTATCCTTTCACGGTAATCCGCTACTTCCCATCGCGCGGAAATCCGCAACTCTTTGCGAAAAGAAGTCTTGCGTACTTGAACGTGCACTGGTAGCGAGAAATATACACGGAGACGTCCGGCTGTTACATTCTCATCCGATACAAGTCTTCATTCTCACGTATTACGATTGAGAATGTTGTTACCTGTTGTCACACAAATTGAACTTTATATGACAATAACAACTAAAGACGTCATTTCAAGCGTGTGTATTATAACTATAATAAATATAACCAATAACTGACTGAAATATAAAAATAAAATAAGAAGCTTTGTGAACATAAGAACGGGTATTCGGATTTCCGTGATTTTTACACTATGGTTTTATTCTAAGCATAGACCTTAGAAAACAGGGACATGCAACTTCTGTCTAAGACAAAAGAAAATCCAGTTTCCTGTGTGCAACGTGGGTTATAATCCCCTGTATAGATAATCCCATTAATACATATACCTATACATCTGAAACAGTTTTAGTTCTTACCTTTCTACGCTTTTTTTTATATGTTTGATAAGTTATGCTGTGCAAATATTCACATTTGTCAGTGTATAACGAGTGCACTATGCTATATTTGTTCTAAATATGATGACAAATCTACTTGTTATAATGATACAAATTTTGACAGGTCATTGTTTATGTTTAGGCAGTTTTGTTTTCTTGTAGAGAAAACTGACCATTTTTATTTCCCTTTTCTGTTTTCATAGTGGAATAAAAACTGTTAACTTTGCAATTTTTAGTTTCACTCGTATCAATAGAATGGGCTTGGCTATTCAGTTTTAATCAAATGTAATTTTTCTGATTATATTCTAACCACAAAGTTGGCTCATTTTGTGTAGCTACTCCCTGGCAGCCATGTTTGGCTTATGGAACAGGAGAGGATGTAAC